ACTATAGCCAATAAAGACACATCTTTCACTTGTTTCTTCTAGCTTTGTCCTCTTTTGTTTAGGAATTTGAGCATAGCAAACACACCCAAAAATTTTAAGATGGTTCACCGACGGTGTTCTTCCACTCCAGGCTTCAAATGGAGTCTTTTTCCACACGGCCTTTGTTGGACACCTGTTCATCAAATACACAGCAGTGTTAACGGCCTCGGGCCAAAAGGTTTTAGGCAAACCTTTCTCAAGTAGCATAGACTTCGCTATCTCCATCACGGTTTGGTTCTTTCTTTCAGATACACCATTTTGCTGAGGTGTATATCCAACAGTGAGTTGTCTTTCAACACCTTCATCTTCACAAAATTTATGAAATTCATTTGAGGTGTACTCCTTCCCTCGATCACTTCTCAGCATCTTTATAAATCTGCCACTTTGTTTTTCGATTAATGTTTTAAATTTCTTAAAGATTACAAACGCTTCAGATTTTTGTCTCATGAAATATACCCAAGTCATGCGAGTAAAGTCGTCAATAAACAAGATAAAGTACCTATTTTTGCCATGAGACAAAGTATTCATAGGGCTACACACATCTGTGTGTACAAGTTCCAACACTTGTTTAGCTCTCCATGCACCTTCCTTTGGAAATGGTTGTCGGTGGTGTTTGCCAAGCACACAACCTTCGCACACACCAAATTTTTCTTCGATTCTTGGCAGCCATACACCATCTTCTTTTGATAGAGTAACTTGAGGTTTTCGTAATTCAAATGCCTAAGTCTCCCGTGCCATAAACACGAGTCATTCTCTTCTCTGGCCAGCATGCTTACATTTTTCTCATAGTTAAAAGATAGTGGAAAGCTCTTGTTGCTAGTCATCTTCACAACAGCAACACTTCTTCTTTCTGAGTCAAAAATTCTGCACTCGTTATTCTCAAAGTTTAGAGAATAGCCGTGCTCCAGAAGTTGTCCAATGCTAAGCAAATTTTCGTCTAATTCCGGTACATAGAGCGTGTCATGTATGACTTTTCTTCCTTGCTTTGTAGTGACTCCAATGCTTCCTTTCCCTTTCACTACGACATGTTCTCCATTGCCCAATTTAACTTTTGAGCCAAATGAAGAATCAATGTTTATAAATGCTTCCTTCTGTCCGGTCATATGGTTGCTACAACCGCTGTCCAAATACCATACATTTTTACCTTCTTCATGCAATGCTTTTTGACAAGCAAAAAATAAATTTCCTTCATCAGATTCTCCTTCTGCATACGAAGCATGTTGTTGATTTGCAAGACGACAATCCTTTTGAAGGTGCCCGAATCTCTTGCAATTGTGGCATTGCGGTTTACCTTTGTTCCAACAATCCTTCTCGTCATGAGTACCGCTGTTACAAATTTTGCACCATTTGTTTGATGCTCCATTCCATCTTCCGCCATTTGCGCTTCTTCCAGATCTGCCACGTGAGTTTCTACCTCTGCCTCTGCCTCTTCCAAATCTGCCACCTCTAGAAGACTCACCTCTAGTTTGTATTTGGGACTTATTTTCACCATTGTTGGGCTGAATGTTGAGTTTAGATTGAAAGGCACTCTCGATTGATTTTTCAGAATGTCGTAACATCCTTTGCTCGTAGGATCTCAAAGACCCCATCAACCCTTGAACGGTCAAGGTTGATAGATCCTTGGTTTCTTCTATTACCCCCACCATTGGGTCAAATCTTGCTGTCAAACTGATCAGAATTTTGTCAACAATTTTGCGATCTTATGTCGTATCACCATGTGACTTCATCTGATTCACCAACTCGGAGAGTCTGTTGAAGTATTCGTTCAGGCTCTTGTTCTCCTTCATCCTTTCATTTTCATAATCTCTCTTAAGAGATTGAAGCTTCACCGTTTGCACCTTTGAGTCTCCTTCGAACTCTTGTTGTAGGATACTCCAGGCTTCTTTCGATGTTTTAGCTCTCATAATCCTTGGGAAGATGGATAGAGAGACCCCTCTTTGAATCATCCTGAGAACTCCAGCATCTATGATCTTCTTCTTCTTCAATTCTTCAAGCCGTTGGCTTGATTCTTCAGCCTTTTCTTTTGATTTTTCAGCCTCTGTCACCGCCGGTTCTTCATAGCCGTTTTTGACATACTCTAGAACATCCAAAGATGTGAATAGAGTCTCCATTTTAACAGTCCAAAAATCATAGTTCTCTCCTTAAAATAGAGGAACTTTGACATTGATGTAAGTTACGAAAGGGTTGTTTGTGGAAGTCATAACTGTTGTTATTTTTGCTGCAGCTGCAAGGATCTGCAGCTCTGGTACCACTCTGTTGGCGGTATTTTAGAGGTGGTATGTGAAAAATTATAGTGTTGCAAAATTCTGCAGAGAAAACTACTTTTCGTCACTTTTGTACTATACTTCTACTGGTGGATGACCATTGAAAAACTCTGCTTTTTTTTTTTTAATTCACCAAACACTTCTTGCTTTTAATCTTAGTATTACAAAGCCTTTATATAGGCTTGAATGAAACTGATAGAGAATACAAATAGGTTGCTATTCAAGATGAGGACTCTTTGGTTCTCTCAATTCTAATGATACAACTCTACCATAAATCTAAATAAAGACAATCATTATAATGTGATGGTTACAATTCTCTCATAATGCTTCCTAAAGATAGTGGTGGTTACAACATATTAATTTTAACAGGTCCAACAATCTATAGCCCTTGTCTGCCTCGCTTCGGTTATGATTTCTTTATATCAAGCACCTTAAAAACCTTGAATGATGATAACACATGAATGTTGCACTGAAAGTTGATTATAATTCATGCAATGTATTATGAAGAAGAATTGAAATGCATTTTCAACGTCCCCGTCCTTCACATATGATGGATCAAGGTCTTCGTTCTTCAAGTCACAAAGCTTTGTCCGCTGGAGATGTGGTTGTTCAAAACTCAATGTTAACAATCGGTTAACTTTCATCACAACCAAAAAATTCAAAGATCTTATTCGTTGGAGATGGATTAGTTATCATGTTTAACACAAACCAAATGCAGGTACAAATAGGACCATGACTTCTAGGTTCTACCAGTTGTGGAAATGGAAATGAATGACAAATTTTAAAAGATGTGACGAAGACATGATACATACTTGTGGTAAGCTAAAAGTCATACTGTTGTCACCCATTATAGCCCGTGAATCATGGATTTGATTTATCTGAAGTTATAAACTTTCAGTATAAACATTCAAATACAAAGAGTTAGTTATCATGTTGTTCATGAGTTATATAATGCAAATATTTTCGACGTGCATCATGGTTGTCGAGTTACAGAAAATGAGTGAAACAAACTAAGTCCTACATCGAAAAATGTTGCAAGAATGAGTATATCTCATCAGAGTTGGATTTCAAGAAATGTTACAAGACGATGTAAACTTCGATGTGGGACAAGGTAAGCTCATGAATGGAAGCATTGGTAGAGCAACATATTACGAACCAATCCACCTTATGGAAGTTGAACCTTTTGCTAGATGTAGAAGATAGGCAGCAAGAATTAGTGTATCTGTAATTTCTTCTCTTCTCTCACAATTTGTATCATTGATTTATGGTGAACTTTTCTTGGGTTGATTTTTTCTTGTTATGTATTCTACTATTTGAATTGGTGTATCTTTGACTTGAAACTCAGTATTGTTGAGAACAGTTTTCCAACTTTAGTTTATAATAAAACCACTTTAGTTTCTCCAGCACTTATAGAAGTGTTTGATTAGGATATCGATGCTACAATTTCCATAGATTTAATCATTGTTGTTTTGGAAGTCGGTGAAGTCATACTTGTCAGATGCATTTCTATGGTAACAACTCTCACAATTTGTTGCATGCATTTATACATTTCTACATGCTGCTTCTGTTTGTATCAAATGAAACTAATGTTATTGAGTTTGTTTCTCTTTCACTTAAATATTTGAAACATTCTTATCATGCTTACTAATATATATATTTTTTAATTATAAAACAGATTTTATAATAATAACATTAAACAGTTTTTACTAAATATTAAAACAGTTTTTTAAATATTTTTATTCAATACAAAAAACTATTTTTTTATATATGTTTTTAATCAATACATAAAATTTTATATTATATTTGTTTTAAATAAAATATATATTAACATTAAAACTGTTTTTATAAAATTTATATATTATTCTGTTTTTATAAATTAAATAAATTAAGATATATATTTAATGAAAATTAAAATATTATAATTTAACTAAATTCAACTTAAAATCTAACTAAATTCAGAAAATATACTAAATATAAAAAAAAATTTCAAGAAATACCTCTTCTCTTCTAACTCCTTCAATCTTCTTGTCCAACCTTTTTGCAATCTACTTCTACTATATCAATCTTCTTCTATTCAAAGAAAAATTAAAATAAATTACAATCTCATAAGACAATAAATAAAAAATTATCAAAAGATTAGTTAATTTTATAAATAAAAAATTTCAAAATAATTAACTTAAATTGTAGATTAGTTAATTACTTGACTTATTTATTGAAAGAAGTACAAATTATCGAATGTAAGCTATGTCTCCATCTTGTCTTAAGTTTTTGAACTGTTGTTGAATGATTATTATTCTTTGTTTTGTATTCAATACAATTAATCATTTTAACAAGTATAGCTTAAATCACGGTATTAATAAGAAAAGTCAAAAAAAGATCTTCTCTTTTCATTTTTATTTTTTTTCATCCTCTCTTTTTCTTTTAATTTTATTCTCACTCTTTATTATAAAATTATTTTTGTTTCCATATATATGATTGAATAATATATATGTGAATATAAAAGGTAAATAATAGCTGTAGTTAGTTTGAGAAATTTGTGATTTAATTTCAGAAAAGTACATAGTGCCATCGTCATGAACAGCATCACTGTCAAACGTCATCCTAGTCTTTTGTGAACCACTTATCTTCATGCATTCAACATAACTATAAATGCAATATAAATCAATAATTTATTTAGCCACAAAACTTATACAGAAAATGGATAATAATATCTCTCAAAGTGTGAGAAAGAGATTAATAATCAAAGAGCTTGTAAAAGGTCAAGAAGCTGCAAACAAACTCAGATTTCTTCTTCAAAATGACAAGAACCCCTTTGGTGATGGCTCTCTCTTATCATACAAACTTGCTGCAAATGTGCTCAGATCTTTCACAGAAGCTCTTTCAATTGTCTCTCAACCAGGTTGTGATGATGTAGGCGCCGGCATTGATCCACCATCTGGAGATGCAGGTAATGTTGTTAAGAAGAGTTCAAGAGGTTGCTACAAAAGAAGGTTAGTATTAATTAATTAATTAATACTTTTTTTTGGTTAAATTATGTTTCTGTTTTTATTTTACATATTAGTAGTAATAATCATGTCATGCTATTTTTCTTCCAAAACAAACCCTAATTTTGGTCGGAGATTTTGGTTACTAGACTGCCATGGTTTCATGACAGGAGATCTGTACGGACACAAGAATGTTATCTGGTTTTGACACAAGCTTATTTTAAAATAAAAATTAAAATACTTTATAAAATTTCATCAAATTAATTTTACAAGATTAATTGTGATTAAAATTGAATGAAATATAAAGTAAAATAATGTATGGTTAGATGTTTAGATAAGATTGTACTATGAATTTGAGTATAATTTAACAATTTTGTCATTAAGGTTACGTCCGATCGACACTTTTTGAATTTATACGATAAAAGTTTTGGATTAAATATATTTTTGATTTTTATAAATATTTTTAATTTTATTTTTAATTTCTATTAAAAAATAATAAATTTTAGTTTTTAAAAAAATTTGGTTCATCCAATTTTAGTCTTTGTTATTTTCTAAAATTTTAAAAACGATTTAATTATCTTTAAATTTTAAAAATTTTGAATAATATTTTTCATACGTGTTTAGAATATTATAAAATATTTCTTTATCAAATTTTAAATTTTTTTTAAAATGAGAAGAATTAAATATAATTTTTTTAAATTAAAATTTGAATTTTTTTTCAAAAAACTTTTTATAAAATTATAAACATGTCTACAAAATAATAATTCAAAAATACACATTGGCTTAACAACAGAGATTAAAACTACGTGCATAATAATTTTGTAGAGACTAAAATTTGCTATTATTTTAATAATAACTAAAAATGAAATTTGATATATTTATAAAAACTAAAAATATATTTAATCCTAAAAGTTTTGTTTGATAATTATACTCTATTTAATTTAAAATTTATAATTTATCAATATTTTATTATAAAAAAATAGAGCATAATTATAAATAGAGCATAATTATCAATATTTTATTAATATTAAAATTTTATTAGAAAGACCTCAATAAATATTAAAAAAATTAATAATAAAATAATAATATTAATAAAATAGATAAAAATTATCAAAATAAAAATTATTTTAAAGTCGTAAGAAGTGTCTAAATGATAGAAAACAAAAAGAAAGCATCACAACCAACATAATAAATCCAACAAAAAGGCAAGCAGAATTTTCCAAGCAACTAAAGAATGGCTCTTTAGAATTCAAGCTAGAGAGAGCTCTAACCACCAGAACCATCATCCACAAATCAAAATCAAAATCAAAATCCATTAAGAGAACAAAAAAACACCACATACCAAAACCTATCTTAGAACAAAGCCGAACACTCAATCCGCTGTGGGTTAATGAGAACGATAGACTTCTAAAATCAATTAGAGTATGTGCATGAGTTCCTCCTATATTTATTTAGAAATAATTTCCAAGTAAAAATAAATACTCTTCTCATCCATCTCTTTCATAGTTTTTGTAGCACTATTAAATATAATATCATTACATGCTTTCCAAATAATCTAGACGGCGACATGGCATATCATAATCAAACTCATCCTACTCTACACTACTATGAATAACATTTATAACGTCGGACGCGAAATATATTTTACCTCGGCAATCCAATCAAAATTACTAAGATCATCATGAGAAATCTGCACTTAGCACCTCAGTGTTTTTTACATCGAAGTTATTATTGAAAAGATCATGGATTCGATCCCTAGAAACTGTATATTTTTATTTTTATTTTCATTTTATTGTACGCTTCATATAACTATCGGTTTTATTTATAATCCGAGGTAAAATGATATTCGTTTTACCTTAGTTTTAGATAATAACCAAAGAGTTTATTATTTAGTTTTTGAGTATATTTATCAATTTCATTGGCTCCTATATCATTACTTACATGTATCATTTCCACTGACCTGTATCACATCACTATAATAAACTTATTAGCCTGTCTGTATTATTTTACACAGAAACTACAAAATATGTAACATAATTGGAATAATATCATATATCACTTCAAACCTCTGTTCATATACAAAATAACATTGTTATCATCAAGACAAAATAAGAAAACATTTGCTCATATACAAAATAACATTGTTAGCAACCAACAGAAACTATTGTTCTTGTTCTCGAGCTTCATAAAGAGATATGAAGACACTGGCCCAACGAGATCGGATGTCATCAATTTCCTCTGTTGAATACGGTTTTTGATTGCTAAGCTCCTACAGTTAGAATAAAATTTAAGCTAAAAAAAATAGTTTAAGAAGTATACCTAACATGGATTGAGCTAATACCTTAATCTTCATAAATCTTTGTGTAATGCCATCAGAGACAATATGAAGCATATATCTCATGACATAATATCCACAAGAATGAGAATCAGTTTGTTTACGCCACTACAAATAACTTTCATTTATTAATGTTACACTAATACACATAATTAATATATTGTCAAATAGCACAATTACTATACTTACTCTTGGGTAATGAAAGTTTGGCTTTCTATAGATAATATTTTTTCTTCGCGTGTTATATTCCTCCATCGCTCTACACGTGTAGGTTAAAATTAAACATGAATATAAATTATTCAATTCTAAATTTAAATTTGAGTATAAGAAATACTACAACTTACCCATTCAAAGCGGTGATCAAAACTTCGGGCAGTGTCGAGTGAATCGAGAAAAACACAAATATACTATTTTTCTTGGGACATATGACAAGTAGTTGTCAATGTCGGTTGCATAAACATTCAGAATAATTAATAATATGGATAAAATTGATTTATAAATGAAAACACAAATTAATATATACTTACTCATGGTAAAACATGGCAAAATAACAATCTTTGATGCTCCCTCTCTCCAGCAACTTATCTTGTACGTAATTTCTAACTTCGTGACCTGGAGAATCGCGAGTAAGAGAAATCTTCGCAGCATCTAAGATACAATACTTGTTTAGAAGATTCCTTTCTAAACAGAAGTCATGGATGTACCTGCAAGGTCAAACCTTTATGTTAAAGTACAAGAACGTATGTATATAAATAGAAATCAACATAATACTATTTACGAGCACCAAAATTGCATCATGGACTCGTCTGGTTCTTCATCCCCCTTCAAAAATTCATGTAACGAAGTCTTGTTAAGAAACAACAGAAGAAGTGGATCATGACTTAATTTGAAACCCATAGTAATGGATTCAATACTCGACACCATCTTCTCTAGTCTCCGAAGGCTATCTTGATTTAGTGATGAGGGTTCAACACTTCCCAGGTTGGCAGAAAAACCATGTGTCGCACTTGTACCATCTGTAACTTTATCAACTACATTCTCTCGAATTTCCATCTGATTTGAATTTGTAAGGCCGAGTATACCCAACAAACTCAATGTCTGCATCATAAAAAAAACATAAATACAATCCAAAACTGAAATACACAGACAATAATAACAACAAAATACAGCTTATACCTCAAGAACACCGCGGGTACACTTATCGGTCATCTTCTTCTCATTCATCCTCTCTCGCTCCTCTTGCTTCTTCTGAACACTCTCCCGCACCTCCTGCAACAACTTCTCCTTCTCATCCTCCAAAAACTTCTCCTGCACCATTTACAACAACTTCTCCCTATCATCCTCAATGAATTTCTCCTGCACAATCTGCCACAACCTCTCTCTCTCTCTCCTCATCCAAGAACTTCTCCTACACCGTCTGCCACAACCTCTCCCTCTCCTCCTCGAAGAACCTTTTCCCCAGCTTATCTCTTTGCTCCCCCAACTTAATAAGAACAATCTCTTCAACCTCTCTCTTACTCATTTTCTCTGTAGATGATTGACAACATCCAAAATATGCCTTGAAGCCAATGCCTCTACCAAGACCATAGACACACCCAAGATGCTCCTCCGTTCCAATCGCTTCTACCAAGATGTCATGACGACCTTTTGAAGTGAAGAGGCTGGCTTTAGTTTGTTCAACAAGATTATTCTACAACACATTAAATTTTTATCTTTACCAAATTGATTTAACTAAAATAAATATTCTTGAAAAAAGTATCTACTTACAATCCTTTGAGACACTTCGCGCGTAGCTTTTGATGTGTTCTCGCCGTATTTTCTTTGGCGTGCCCTCTTCCATTTATCGTGGCGTGATGGTGGAGATGGATTTCGATCAAGACTTATAGAATCTCCCAACTCTTCTTCCATTTTTTTTCTTTTTTCATCCATCAAAATTTTCTCAATTCTTTGATATCCTCCAAGAGACAACCTATGTGGATAGATATTTCTAGCTCGATTTTCCTTTCCTTTTTGGCTCTTTGCCAAGAATTCAGGAGTTTTGCGAGACTTTACAAATATCTCCCAAGTAGATTTATTAATAAATGAATATACCTCGTATGGAGGTTTTTCTTTATCTTCTTCATGTTTAATATAATCATGGGTGAGTTGTGTCTTAAACCCCCTCCAATGCTCACTACAATAAGCAAGCATTTTCTTTTTCACGTAGTCATTATCTGGAGTAACAATGAAATGATCCTATGTTTACACAATAGAGATGTTATTAGTATTTCACAAAAATTATACTTGTAAAACAAATGATAGGATACAAGATAAATACCTTAATATCAGACCATATGTCAGTTTTTAATTCATCGTTAATTTCATGCCAACCATTTATCAAAATACTCACTTTACTTTTATACCTTGTAACACAATGTAACCTAAAAAATCATCAGCTTTTCACCCTCAACCATGCCAATTACTGCATCAACTCTAACCGGGTATCAAATACCAGATTTGTTGGTTTTTTTCACCTTTGTATACACCGTGGCACCTCTATTTTTTCTTTTACAAATTTGTGTATTAACAGAGTTTGCAGCATATGTTGTATGAGAGGTGCTTGTCGAATCGAACATGACTATCAACAGTAACATTTCAGTCAACACAAATGAAAAATAAAGATGAAACAAAA